AGTGCTGAGACTTAACCACCTGCACCACCAGGGAGGCCCTGACTTACTCTTACTCAACTTTCAGGAGCCTGATTTTGGCTTCCGATGCAGTTACCAGAGACCTTTTTGCCCCTTTCCTCTGTCCCAGCCCTCCCCCTGCAAGTTATCTTCCCCTCTTCTGGGATTCCATACCATTCACCCCCAAGTCCTATGTCCCCCACTTGACTTAATGCGAGAGCCTCCCTAGTTGATCATAACCCAATTAAACCCAGAAATCGTTGCAAACAGGCCTGTTTTATCCATCTAGAGGGCCTATATACCAGGTAAGAGGTGCTGACATAGAAGTGTTACATGAACAAGCATTTAAAATGACCCATGAAGAAGGATCTGGATTTTAAGACAGCAGGGAAAAGGGATTAGCATCACCAAACTTCACAAATATCCCTGTCACCCAGAGGGCAAGGCACAGGGGTGGAGACTCGCATGCCTTGCACAGCAGAGGTCCAGGAGGAATTCAGAGCAAAAGAGGGGGAGTAGGGAGGCCTGGGGGTGGGGGAGACCTGCAGGGATATCAGAAAACTGTCGTTTTTAAGGATTCTTCCCTGTTGTTTTTCAGAGCTCTCTTATGAGGTTTACAAAGCATTAGGACTTGGGTTTGGGTTTTAATTTCTCTCCTTGCACTGGTCTTCCGGGAGTTGGGGGGCGGGGGAGTTGGGGATGGCAGAGAGCAGGAGTGCATGACTCCTGTTACCCAAGGCACCAGCTTCACTCAGTTCCCCGCTGTGTGGACACTTTCTCACTCTCAGTCTGCCAAGGGTGAGGGAAAGAGGGGTACTTGGAAGACTTACTTCATGTAAGTGGATGCTTTTTGGAGGAGGAACTTCCCAGCTGCGTCCCACAGCTTTGTGGGTGCTCAGACTCGAGAACGGTGGCTGAACAGGCCCCAGGGAGATCGGCAGCTTCCAGTCTGTTCCAAGGAAATGGGAGAAATGCAGAGCTGTAGGTCCAGGAACTCACTCCCGTCGCCCCCGGCTCATCGGGGCTGATGTCTTTGTTGGACCCGACAGCGTAATAGGGAAGAGGCTCGTGCCACTGAGGAGAAAGCTGAGCCCCAAGCCCGGAGGCGAGGATGAAGGCTCCAGTTAGAGCCTGGCAGTGGTATGAATTGTTTCCCCGGAAGATGAGAAGGGGCGAAACATAATGGGCAAGTCTCTGTGCCCGGTGCATTGTGGGTAGTTGCTTTGCTCATGTCACGTGAGTCGAGTGGATTCTCACTCTGGGTGTTTAACCGAGCAGGATGATTAGGGTCACTGCAGGGCCCTTTAATTAGGCTCATTAAAGAAGGAATTGGATGGCCCAGTCACTTTTTCTACATTTGTGCGTGAGTATTCTTTTACCATAGTGCAGAGGTTGGTGACCTTTCTATTACTTTCTATGTGTGGGGCTTTCGGGGACATCCGAGTGAGTTATGACATTACAAACTACTTCAGCCACAGACAACATAGACGTTAGGCGTGGCTGTGTTTCAGTGAAACTTTATTTCTGGACATAAACTTTATTTCTGACACTTTTGTATAATTTTCATATGTTACAAAATATGGGGATGATGAACGTTTCATGTATTATCACGTGTAGAACCTTAATTTTCATTTTGAATGAAGTAACACTGCCTTCTTAATAATGCAAGTTGGGGGTGTATGTCATTGAGAAGCCACATGTCCCTACAGCATGGTATTCACCATTAGAACGTCTACGTTTTGGATTTTCATTCTACATTCAAACACAGGAAGGTCATTCTTTGCAAGCCATGCCAAAGAGGCGGGAGGACTGATTTGGCCCCTGAGCCAGAGTTTGCCTATATAAGTAGGTATCTCCATGCACACAGGGACAGGGCTGCTGTCTGAGACAGAAGCTAGAAGTGTCTGTTAGATACCTGGTTGGAGAGCAAGGGTTAAATGAATGAAGCCCAGGCTGGCCGGACTAACCCCCTTACAAAATCTGGGATTCCCAGGGACCCTGATGTCATCCAGCCTGTTGCCCACCTGTTCCTCTCTGTCTCTCTCTTACATCTTTGCAGTTCCCATGATCTCCCACCACTACCACGTCACCCCTGAATCATCACCATAGTCCCTTGTATTCTCTCTTACCATCCTGATGCTCTCCTCCCCTTGTATATGCCTCCCATCAGTGGTTAGCTTGCTAGTTTATCTTTTTCTTGACCTTTTGCTTGTTTTCTCTATATTCTGCTTACATGAGACCATCTACATTTACCTTCTTCCTTTTGACTTATGTCAGCTAGCACAATCCCTCCCAGCTCCAGTTTGCCTTTTTGATTGCTGAGTACTATTCCATTATAGCACAACAGTACTATTCCATTATACCAACCTTTATGTGTGACCGACCACATTAAAACCAGCCTAAGGATACAAGCCTCCCATCTATTAAAAATAAGAACCTGCCCTCCCTGCTGGCGCAGCGGGTTAAAGCACTGCACTAAGAAGCTTAAGCCACTTCCACATGAGTTCAATCCCCGGCTGCCTTGGAGGAGATCCACATGGCGAGGCAGACCTCTCCTGACCCGCCCGCTGCTCGCCTCAGCAGTATACTCCATCGATCTGCCTATTCTGCTCCCTACTCTGACCCTGGTGAATCCTCTCACCCTCTGCATCTCTGGCCTGTACCTCAGTTCTCTATGAATAAGTAAATAAATCTTAAAAAAAAAAATAAGAAGAACCAACTCCCAGAGTAAATGATCTCAGCCTTGTATCCATTCATCATTCATTTTCATGCTGCCCAACTTCCAGAGTGCGATGCGATTCTGTCCTGAGTGATGGAGCTCTGTTTTGAGAAATGCATCTTTAGATGACCGTCCCTGTGTGAACATCAGCGTGTCCTTACCCAGACCTGTAGGCTTCAGACACCTAGGCTGGGAGTAGAGCCTACGAGATAGACCTAAACGTCACTAAGCAGTGCCTGCCTCTGCTTGCCTTCTCCCACACATACACCCAAGGTGCAAATAATGCAAGCGCCATCTGCAGTTTTTCTCTTTGCTCTTCCCACTACTGAGCAGCCAGCACCCAAGGAACTATCCATTCCGTTCCTCTGGGTGTTAGGATCTGACGCTGTTGAGAGCCAGAGGGGGCCCTGGTAATGGTGGCCGGCGTGACTGCTGGGTGCCATCTGCAGTGATTGCTCTCCTGACGCAATTTAAAGCTAGAGACTGAAGTCAGCATCACACACCAGTTTCCCCTGGATGCCAGAGTAGGTCTAAAATAAAAATAATATAAAAAAAAAAAGCCACTTAGAATGACTCTGGAGTCTGCCAAAACACTTGGTGTTTTGAGACCACACTGAGATCCTGACACCCTAAAATGCTGTCTTTGGAGAGTGTGGGGGGTGAACACAATCTCGAGCATATCTTGCATATAGTAGTAGATGCTCAAAAAATGTTTACGAAACGAATGCAAGAGGGTGAGGGCTTGCAAGAGTACTTTTGTCTGAACTGGAACTTCTGGCTTCTTTCCAGGAGAACTGGCCTGCTGGGCGCATCCCAGGTCTTTGCAGAAGCCTGTCACGTTCTGGAAGAAAAGTTCCCCTTCCACCCCAGGCAAACGGAATCCGGTCTTAATTTTACAGTGTTGGAGAACACGCAGTTTCCTGTCTCAAATAGCAGCAGCTGGTTAAGTGTTATCTTAAAAGAAGAATCCAGTTTCCTTGGGCTTTGCCAAAGCTGCATTAGTCACCAGATTTCCCTTTTTTTCTTTCTTTTTAAAAAAGATTTATTTATTTATGCATACAGAACTGGGTACAGGCCCAGAGGATTCACCAGAGACAGAGTGGGAAGCAGAACAGGCAGATCTACGAAGTACAATGCTGAGGGGAGCAGCGGGTGGGTCAGGAGGGGTCGGCTGTGCCCTGTGGGTCACCTCTGGGGCAGGATCAAAGTTGCACTGAAGTGGCTGCAGCTGCCTTGCAGTGCTGTGTCCTCCTTTGTGCCACCAGACAGGGCCAGATTTCCCCTTTCTGCTGCCTTGGCAAATAGCCCCAAGGGCAGCAGGGGATATTCAGCAGGGACTAACCCACACCCAGCTCAGGAAGGTCTCAAGTGGAAAGACCTGAGGGAGTGAGAGGGAGGGAGGAGGAGGCATCTCATGCCCTTTTTCCTGTGAAATAATCATTTTTGGGTGGGGAAGGCTGTGCTCTGGGGAATAGGAGGTGCAGAGGCTGCCGCTGTCCGGAAGTGATGAAACCCTGAGAGAGATACAGACATTCATAGAAGACTGAGGATTTTTTTTTTTTTTCCTTTGCACAGGGGGTTAAAGTCTCAGCACTATGAAGCTCTCTGCAGCCACTGTGGTAGGAGTTGGATCCCCGGCCAGGGAGTGAGTGACCCACAGGGCGCGGCTGACCTCTCCTGTCTCCCCGCTGCTCCCCTCAGCAGTGTACTTCATCGACCTGCCTGTTCTGCTCCCCACTCTGTCTCTGGTGTATCCTTTCTCCCCTGGCACCTCTGGCCTGTACCCCAGTTCTTGCATGCATAGATAAATATACCTTTAAAAAATTAGATATAAGCTGTCCTCAAAACTCATTCCCTTTGGTACAGAATGTCTTTGCATCTTGGTATTAGACTCTTGAATTCTTTAAGGGAGAGTTTGGGTGCCATGGATCTTGGAAGCCTCAGTACCCAGCACAAAGCTTGGCACGTAGTAGGTGCTTAATCTATGTTGGTGACAGAGAAAGCCTGGAATGCGCAAGCAGAGAAGAGGCTGGGTGCTGGCAGCTTCTTGGCATCATGTGAAGTGAAGCTCCCGGGGCTGTGAGGGGCTTCCCCACCCAGGGGGTCTGTGATAAAGCAGCAGCAGCAGCTGGGGCCTGGGAAAGCGGCTTGACAGGGCGGACCCATGCTGACTTTCAATCTCTGCGCTGAGGATGAGCAGAGGCAGGCTTTGCTGCTGCTCTAGTCTCCTTGGCTCGCCATGTCCGCAGCAGCTCCCCTCCAAGAGAAGTTTAGCTTCCAGATCATGAAAAAATTGTCAAGCTCTGGCATCAGCAGCTGCCTCATCTCTGGCTAAGCTGGAGACTTCTGAGAGGCTTTAACAATTCCAAGAAGAGGAGGCGTCGCAAGTCAAAGGCGGCTGTGTTTTGGCAGGTGAGACCCTGGGCGAGCCCTCTGGGGCGCTCAGCTTTGTGCAGCCCAAGTTAAAACCACAGGGAGAGAGCTGAGTTCACCTGTGCTGAAGGAAGCCTCCAAGGCTGCTCCTCAGGCATCTTTTCAGGTGGAGACCATAATCCCGTGGCTTGCAGCATTTGAATGCAGTCAGCACTTTCGACTTTTAGCAGAGCCTAAACAAGCCCAGAAAGCCCTGACTCTTGAATATCAAAAAGGCATTTTGTTGGATTAAAGTTTTCTTGCTTTCTGCCAACTTTTGAATGGTGGGGGTGGGGGGGTGATACAGAAATCCTGCGACTTCTTTGCACACACTATTATTTCAAGGCTTGCACTATTACTTCCTGAACCTCCAGCCCCTGGCCTGGGGTCTACCTTGGAGCAGATGCTCAAAAATGCTAAAATAATACCCCAGTCTGCTTGCCAGGTCTTTACCGTTATGTTACCATTGTACTTAAAGCTTCCAGAACACTGGAGACAGGTCCTGGAGACAGGATCTTCTAGCAGCAGAGTGCTAAGTTGGCCCTAAGATTCTGCCCCCTCACATACATGCCTTATGTAATCTCCTCCCCTCCAGTGGGGCCGGAGCCTCCGACTCTGATGGGGTGAGACCCATGATGACAGTGGTTATGGGAGAGGAAGGAACTTTGCAGATGTCAGTTAGGACCCTAATCAGTTGACGTCAATCAAAGGAAGCTTTTCTTGCGCGGGCCTGGCCCTAGTAAGGTGATCCCTTTATTTTTTTTTATGCATACAGAACTGGGGTACAGGCCAGAGGTGCAGGGGGCTGCGTGCAGGTCCCAGCAGACAGCCACGCGTGGGGCTCCTTCTCCCCACGGCTCCTCTGCTGAGTCACAATTTTCTCAGTATCAGGCTCTGCGTGTCAGACGATGACCTTCAAGAGCGTCCCAACTAGGCGCTTCTTTGACGTCCTGGGTCTAGAGAGGTCCAGGGGCCGCAGAGAAAGCCAAGAGACTGCGACAGAGGGGCTGTACCCGGGGGCCAGCAGCCTCTGTGCACCCTCTGTGCCCTCTGCTTTCCTCTCTTCTCTGCTTTCCTCTGCTCCCCTGGCGGGAGAGCAGGCAGCGCGCTCTGCTTTAAGCCACCCAGGCGGCGAGCGAGTTTGGACAGGACACAGTTACCCATATTGGCCCGAATGATATGTTTTGCTGATTCTGACAAATTGGAGCAAATGTTCCCTTTGATCTGCAATCTGCCAGATCTCCAGAAACCCCCCGAGCAGAGGCGGGTTATAGGCAAAGGCTGTGGTTCAGATTTCTTACAACACATGGCTTCTGCCTGGGAAGTGGCTGTGGATTCTTCAGATAAGTCACCCTCGCTCGTCTCTGCACTCAGATTCCAGAAATTGCTGTGGAAACCGCACATTTCCAAGCAAACTTGTTTCTCTTTAAACATCTCTGGATTCTCCCTCCCCTCACACACACACACAAACACGCACACTCCACTGTCCATTTAGTACCTCTTAGATCTTTGTATTTCCTGCCAGGATGTCCTGCCTGGCAGACGCCCGGGGGCTGGGGAGTGCCCCTTCAGGCAATGGAAGCCGCCTCGCTTTCCAGCTGGCCGGTCTGCAAGCCAGCAGGGCCCACCAGCTCTCAGGCCCCTTTTTCCTTGGGCTGCGTCCTGCTTGCAAGATGTAGCGAGGGCAAGTTGGCAGCTTGCAGAGGATTCTCTTAGGCTGGTAAAAACGTCTGTTGGAAAACTTGCTATGTAATTTCCTGAGCTGTTCAGGGTCAGAAGGGGGTAGGAACCCCCAAATGGGAGAAATTCTTGATCATTTTCAAGTGGGAAGAAAATAAGAGACAGGTTCCTATGGGCGCAGCCTGGGATGCTAAACTGTGGGTCCCTAGCATAAGTATTTACAGACTCCAAAGCACCCCTGTCTTAGGGAGCTGCACCCACACTCTCCAGGGGTGATTGGTCGGGCCCAGACAGCACACAGTGGCGGGATCGTGCTCACGCCCACCCTCCCCAACACTGTTCTGAAAGGCTGAGGGTGAACTGGAGAGACAGCGGGGTCCCTTAATGCAGTCTCTGCCTTTGAAACTCTGATCATTTTTCTTGGCTTTATTCCTGCGGTACCTGAAACAGGGCCCGGTGCCTACCGGGTGCTTAGCAAATATTTACCTTCTGCAAGAGTGAAGCCATTTTTGCATCCTATGTTCAGCCCTAAAGTTCTGTTACTTAGCTGACTTTGCATGAGACCCAAGCTAAAAAGCAAAGGATGTTTTGATCTCTAGCTAGAACTGGAAGAGACAACAACTGGCAAGTGTCTGGGAAAGCTGGAGGCTCATGGCAGGCCCCCCTGGAGAGGGTCTCTGTGTCTCCAGGGAGCCCAGAAGCTTCTCCCACGTGCTCCCACTTGCCTTTTTGCAGCCAATTCTGAATGTTGCAATGAAGATTGTGTACCTGCTTTGCTTCAAGAGGCTGCGATCTCTGTCTTGACATAAAGGGTCTCTCTCCTCTCTCCTTTTGCTCCATCGCTGCCTTTTCCTCACCCTACAATTCCCCATAACCACTAGTTTTAGTCCTGGGAGTCTGGGTGAGTTTTGCAAAAGATCCATTTTCCAACATCTGCCTTATCTGGTTCATCTCTCCACAGCTTTTATTGGTCTGAAGGTGACTGAAACTAAGATGTTTACGAAAAATTGAAGCTCATTTTCAAAAAGTGAGCAGTGTTGGGCACAGCTGAGAAGCATTTCTAATTCCATGTGAATAGGACTCTGGCAATAATTAGGAGAATTTATGCATCCCCTTCTGGCAATTGCATTTTTTCACTCTGTTTAGCACTTGAAGTAAGTGATAGCATTGTGTTAGGGATCACAAAGGGTTGCATCTTCTAGTTACTAAATGAGGCTTAAAAAGGACTTTTCACCTTCAAAATATCCCATGATTTGTCCTCTCTCCAGGAGGCTCACTTAGCAGAGACATCATGTGGATGAATTTGCAAGAGAGATGCAAAGATGACTTACCTCCGTGCTCTCAAACCCCCCAACTACCCAGCACAGACAGGGAGGGCGATTCCATCCATTTAATCTGGGGGTGTAAATCAGACCTTGGAGCGCAACCTGCAAAGGCAGCCCCCCTGTGTCACAGGTGGGTGGGGATGGTGTTCTGTGTGTGGGTCACCGCCCCCCGTTCTGAGAGGCCCTTCTTGGAGTCAGGCGTTTGTTCCTTATACTTGAAGGGACACCTCATGCCGTTTTCTGCCTTCCCGAGAAATGCCTGGGACTTTGCAGGGTTGAGAGCTCAGTTTGGAAGAGCCCAATTCTGCAGAAGTAAAGGCAACGAGAGGGACTTGTGCTGCAGGCCCTTGGCCAGAGCCAAGCTCTGCTGTCCCTGGAGGTGAGCTTTGTTTTTCCTTCCAAGAACCAGAGTCTCTCCCTGGGATGAGGAGGCTGACTCTGGACCCAGGATACAGCATGGCGTTGGTGCCAGACTTCTTTGACCCAACTCCAGCGAAGATCGAAGCATGGAAATGAGAGCTTTCCCACTGCGAGTTCCACTTGCTGTTTAGAACCTGAATTTCTGCCTAGGAGCCATGTCCTGTCCCACCATGCTGCCTTTCCCCAAGGACTCTGGCTCTAGAACCCCATTTCATCAGCCAAAGGGTGTCTGAAAAATGTCTGCCTTACCCTTGACGTCCTTTCCGGGTTCAGCTTTGCTGAGTGAGGGGCCTTCCTTTGCTGGCTTCATGGCTTCTGTCTCCTTAGTTTTGCCCTTGGGGCTCTGGGCATCTTCCCCGTTCTGCAGTAGCTGACTGCTAGGCTGCTCTGCGGGCCGACCCCCTGGCTTCTTGCTCCCCCTCTTCCTCTCGTGGGGAACTCTAGACATAAAAGCCACCATCAGATGTGAGGTTCTGAGCGGTTCAACCGCCCCCCGAATGAGTGGCCCTGTGGTCACCAGAGGAATGAGTTGGGCAGGAACTCCCATTCTCATGGAAAGTTCTTACATCTGGGAAGAAAACAAATGGATGCTCTAGGCTTCCTCCCTCATGGAGCAGAGGGAAAGAAGGGCAGGGCGGGGTCTACTCGGTAGGACAGGGGAGAACAGGTGTCCCATGGCAAATGGTTCGGTGGAGACACCAAGGAGTCAAGCCCAACACACTAGAAGGTGACTGTTCATTTACGTGGATGAAACACAGCCAGTGAGCAAGTGTGGGCCAGCTAATACAGGGCAGAATTCAGGTCCTGCATAAAAACTGTGTTGGTATCCCCAATGCCCAATTGGTCAACCCCAATTGATATTAAAACAATTGTGTGTGTGTGTGTGTGTGTGTGTGTATAAAACACTGTGAAAGTAGTGGCTGGGTGGGTGCATGGGTGGGTGGGTGCGTGGGTGGGTGGATGGGTGAATGGGTGGGTTAGAATCTGTATTGGCAAACTCTCCTCACAAGGGATGTGAAACTGGTAGCTACTTTTAAGCTCCAATTGATATTAAAACAATTGTGTGTGTGTGTGTGTGTGTGTGTGTATAAAACACTGTGAAAGTAGTGGCTGGGTGGGTGCATGGGTGGGTGCATGGGTAGGTGAGTAAATGACTCACTCTGGCTCAGGTGCCTACTGGTCATTCCCTGCATTGGGGAGGGGTCTTACAGAAGAGCCTTGACTCAGTTCACTAAAGGTGGAGTGTGAAGTTCCAGGGGGAGGTTCTGGACACGGGCAAGTGGTCTGGAGGGAGGAGGGCAGTGTGCTGC